AGGCCAGAGGTTTGTTTGTGGAGGATGTTCAGAACATGTTTCGCCTTTCGCGGGAAGAGTCTATGGATGAGAAACCCAAACTCACTTCTTCAATTCAGGGCTCTGTCATTGACAGCTTGGATATTAAGGACAATGGTGGGAGAATTTCTTGTGATGAGGTGTCAGCCTTATTCAAGTCTCACCAATGTTGGAGTGAAGGTGCGAAAATGAGAGCGACCTGTTACACCCAACAGCTCGAGGAACTGTTACCAGTGGGGCAGAGCCCATTGCCTGTCCTCACGCATGAGGAGTTGTATGATAAGCAGTGTCAGGATCCTGTGGTCAGCCGGGTTTCCTTTTATGTGAACAGGGGGAGTCAACCATCCAGACGTGAGCGCATTCATGAATCGCGGGAGACAAACCGTACATTGCGACAGTGGGGTAAACTCACGACCCGGCTGGGCGTGTTGTACAGAGTTTCTAAACATGTGGTGAGCAAGAAGAAAAGGTTTCAATATGTGGTTCCAGTTGCTTTGAGAAGTCAAGTGTTAAAAGGGGTGCATGATGATGCAGGCCATCAAGGTCAGCAGCGCACATTGTGGCTGGCCAGACAACGATTTTACTGGAATACAATGGAACACGATGTCAAAGAATATGTGAGTCATTGCAAGAGATGTGTTTTGAGCAAAGCACCCGAACCTGAGGCCAGGGCTCCACTTGTTTCCGTTGTCACATCAGCACCACTTGAATTGGTTTGTATTGACTTCTGGTCGGCGGAGGATGGCAATAACAAGTCCATCGATGTTTTAGTGGTGACAGACCATTTTACCAGGCTCGCATGTGCTTACCCATGTCCAAATCAATCGGCCAAGTCAGTCGCTCGCGTGTTATGGAACAATTTTTTTTCCATATACGGATTTCCAGCTTGTATCCACTCTGACAGAGGGGCTAATTTCGAGAGTTCCCTCATTGCCGAGCTACTCCAGATGGCCGGTGTTCGTAAGAGCCATACGACCCCTTACCATCCTGCGGGAAATGGCCAGGCTGAACGCCTAAATCGCACTCTGGGTAGCATGATCCGTGCTTTGCCTCCCCGGGCAAAGGAAAAATGGCCTCAGATGCTGAACACACTGACCTTTGCCTATAATTGCACGGTACATGAAACAACGGGGTTTCCACCCTTCTTTTTAATGTTCGGGCGAACTCCGAGGTTACCTGTTGATGTGATGTTTGGAAGCGTTCTCCTAGATGGAGAGACTACTGACATTGACAAATATGTTCAGTCACTGGGCACAGACCTCAAGGAAGCAATGACTTTGGCTCAGCAGCATGCTGAGAAGCAGCAACTGAGACAAGCTGAGGTGTATAACCGAAGATTAAGGGACATTCTTTGGAGAAGGGAGACAGAGTTTTGATGGCTAACAAGGGAAACGGGGGAAGAGGAAACTGGCTGATCGTTGGAAGGATACAGTTTACATTGTGGTCCATAAAAACAGTGAACTGAACACCTATGTTATCCGTCATCCTGTTACGGGACGAGTTAGGACAGTTCATAGGAATCTGATCATGCCTGTAAACTTCTTGCCTTTGCCATCATGGGATGACTCTGTGTCTCAGGTTTCTTTGTCGAACACAGCTTCAGAAGGTGGGTTGTCAGATGATGTGGTTCCAGGTGAGCGGAACAGTGATGCTCGGACAGCTCGCTGGGTTTCCTCCCTCCCAGAGTCTAGTGTGGTGCGGACTGCCAGGGAAGTAACGGTAGCTAGTGAATCTGAAGCGATTGGAGGGAATAACGATAGTGTTCAGGGTGGAGGGATCATGTCTGCCTGTGGGGATGATAGAAGCGTCGTGGATGGGGTGGATCATGGGTCGAGGAATTCACACTTTGAGGATAACAATAGTGATCGGCTGTCAAACTCTGTGAGCATGAGCTTACATCCAGGTACCACGATAGGTTCAAACACAGCCGTTAGTGGCACACATGTGTCTGGATGTGACACAGTCGTTACAGTTGTACCCTCTGGGATCCCTTCGGTTGTTCAAGGGGAAGGGATACGGACGAGATTGGGTAGACTTATCAAACCTGTTAACAGGTTGATTCAGACAATGTCCACACAAAGAGTTAAAATTTTGTCATAGATCCTTCAGGGACCATTTATTGTGTTATTGTGTTTATTTTTTTATTGGGACTTCTTACACTGGGGGTCTGGTCGTACTTTTATTTGGGTTGTCCAATGCTTTGGACACTTTGGGGTAATTTTGGGTGTACTCTGTGATGGATGTGTAAGTGGCACGTCTTCTATGGTGAGGTGGGGACTTAGCTAACCCTCATCTCTCCTAATTCTTCATTGAATAGCTCTTTGCTGGTCGGCCAGTTTGGTCTTGTATGGAGGGTACACTTGGGTTACATGTATTGGTGTGGCCGGATTGGTATTTATTTATTTTTTTTTTTTCTCTTGACTGGTTATATGTATATATTTTTTGTGTTGTTTTATTTTGTTTAGTTTGTTTTATTTGGGTAGCATGCCCACAATCTAGTGTAAAACAGTGGGGGTGAATGTAGCGATGTGATGTTGTTACACTAGATTGTTAAGTGGGAGGGTGTTCCGATGGGAAATTCTGAGCACCGGCAGCTTTATTTTGAAAGGACGACAGATCCATTGTAATCCAGCGGGCTGTGAAAGGTTTTCCCCACTCTCGGTCGCGCTCTTTCTGTTCGGATTCCGTGGGAGAAGGCGCTGTGCGGGACTGAAAAGTACACTGTTCTGATTGATACTATTTTCTGCCATTTGAATGCAGGTGCATTAAAATCATCTGCACATCAGCTGTTGTTTGGCTTTTCTTGCCTCAAAAAGACACAACGCAGGATTAACTACGCTACACTCGCGTTCATGAAACCCGGAGAAGGAAACAAAGCCGTCGCGCGGTGCGCAACGGAGAGCTTTTGGTGATCTTTTTACGCGGCAAGAATTTTCTCTCTTGCAAACGCTTTGGAACCAAGTTGAGCCCCAACATGCTCACATGTACATGTTTAATACACGATACAAACATCTGAAATATTTCTTTGAATCGCAAAAGATGGCTGCGCCACTAAAGGCAAAAAAAACTCCCATCCGGTACTGCTGAAGGGAGGGAACAATTTACGCACAAGAAAATGTGTCGCTGCTTTAATAATCGCTAATAAGTAGCATTTTTAGACCTGCATTATTTGGCACGTGGCAGGCCTGTAACAAAGCAGTAACCTGTAAAGTAACAACCCTATCCGACCTCCTATAATAAACAAAAACGATGGCCTTACCCTCCCTTTGTCCTGGTTGGCATAGAGATGATGGTGTCCTCCATCCAGTCGTCCTGACTGTACACACACAGTTGCAGTCCTTTCACTCGTGGTTAATGTATAATGTGAGCCATATGGCTTTGTAAAATCGGAGCCTTTATGTCGATGCCACTTCGGTGTGTGTAGACCCAACTAATGATATTCAATTAGTCATTAAACAGGCCCAAAGACGAGCCATGTGTGGGGTTTTCACATGAGCTAATATTTGCTTGTCAAATATTTCCCCTTGAAAGCGTTTACAACGCATTTTTATCGGCTGTCTGCCCAAGGAACATCTGTGAGGATGTTAGCCTCCCACTTCTGGATAAGCGAGGTCCCCCCAATTGGTCCTCTCCTTGCGCCTTTATAGGTCTATTTGTTCACGTTTTGAAGGAAAATGTAATAAAACGAGAGAACCTGATGGATTTATGATTTATCAAAAGCACTTTACCATATGGCAGTCATCATTGGAGCAGATTTCCAAATGTTTGCTTTATGAGAGGAGGCCAGAGATCCTTTTAATCCGAGGCACTTCAGCTGTGAACGAGGATGCTCGTGTCACGTGACTGCAAGCCCGGAGACACACTGGAGCTGATTCATCCGATTCCCGGAGAAGCTGGGATCAATTAGTTGCCAAATGTGAAGCTGGAATCAACATGAAAGTTTAAAAGCTAAAATTGAGCGCGCCTCAATCTCTCTAATTAAGACTACCAGTCACTGCGCAAAAAGGAACTGATGAGAACACGGGAGGGAAGGTACAATGAAATCATGGAATATCAGGAAGATTTGCTACACTGTCATGAACTAGGATTTAAATTTTTTTTAGACGTCCCTTAAATATGAAAAGTGCCAAGTGAGGATATTCCAAGTAACTCATAATGATCAACTTCAGTTAATATTAAAGGGATTTCAGGTGACAAACCAAGAAAGTTGTGCCTAATTATGAAGTGCAAAGAGAAGGATGCATGTTTCTTATTAATTTTTTTTAAATGTTTTTTTTTTTTTTTTAGAAATTTTTGACTAAAAACAGAATGTGGTGCTTCATTACTTGGTCACTTTAATTAAGCACCCCTTAATAAATTCCAGCGCAACTTATTTTCTTGAGCCTGAGGAAATAAGCTTACATTTGTAAATAGAGTTCAATTCTATGTAAAACAAAATCTGTTTTATTAAGGGATCAGAAGTTTGTTACAGAAACTGAACAAAATGCTTCATATAACATGGCTCAAACCGGACAGTCTGTTTAAATCATGGTCAGGACATAAATTTTATGAAGCACTGTTCTATTAATCGCGACAATGGAAAGCAGCACATATGATGTATAATCTCATTATAGTAATTTTAAAATATAAAAAAGAAAGAAAATGCATAGTCCTCAGATAACTTTCATTTAATTTGAACAGACAACCACAAACTGAAATTTACTTCAATTGGATATATTGCAGCCTAACAAAAAGGAGTGCATATTTTTTGAAGTAGATGGAGAACAATACAAGATTTCAATTTTTTTTAAAGAAAAAAGAAAAAAAAGAAGGAAGAGTTGTGTAATGCAACAACTTGCCATCAGAAATTAGTAAACGAACAAACGCCCACAAGGACACCCTGCAGTTTAAAGCCAGTTTTACCCTCATTCTCCCTCCCAGCTTTATTGACGTTGCAGGAAGTACGCAGGGCACCGCGTTATATTCCGCTCTTGTGGGCTTATAAATCTCCGCCAAGAGCTTTGATTCCACACACTGTCAATCCTAAGAGGCCTTTAGGCTTCGAGCTTCATCCCGAATTCGGTCCTGCACAGAAATGTTAGGAGCCTGGAACCAAGCGAGGACGTGCGGAACAAGCATTAGTCTGCAAAGCCAAGGTTAGTTTTGCACTTTTTGTGAACATCTATCAAACTTTAAGCTGAGTTATAAAATTGAAGATATGTTAATCACAAGGTGGCGGAAGTGTCAACCAATTAGGAGGAACCTTTCTCAACGGCAGACCTCTACCAGAATCCAAGAGAAGGAAGATGATTGCGCTGGCCTCGGAGGGAGTCCGCCCAAGTGACATATCCAGAATTCTTCGGGTGCGCACAATCCAAACAGCTCAGACAAAACATGTTTCTGGGAGGAAAAAAAAGAGCGTAATTACAACGGGAACAGGATTGATCAAATGAAGTCGATCTGTCATAGATTGCATTAACGCAGTGCGTCTTTGTAGGTTTCCAACGGGTGCGTCAGCAAGATACTGTGCCGCTACAGGCGCACAGGGCTGGTGAAGCCCAAATCCATAGGAGGCAGCCGCCCTCGGCTTCTCACTCCCGGCGTCATCTCCACCATCATCCAGTGCAAGAGGGAAACGCCAACTATTTTTGCTTGGGAAATACGAAAACGACTTGCAAGAATTTGTAAAGCCGCAAAAATTCCAAGTGTAAGTGGAATAAAGAATGCTTTTAAATTTGACCTTTTTATCTGCAGTTGATAAAACTGTTTTGCGCGCCGTTTCCTGCAAGGTGTCATCCATAAATAGGATTTTGCGAAAAATCCACCTGGATCACGGGATAATGTGCATGGAGGTCAATGCTCCCATCAGAGCTGAGCTGGGTAAGTTATCAAAAGATCTTACTTTGACAACAATGTTGTACACTCATTAATTGTGAAGAGTTTCACACTGATCTTTTGTTTTAAATATACCAAGTCATGTTGTGGTAAATCCTTGCAGTTAACAGATAAATATAATTGAATCAGCTTAAACCTCACCTAAACATATTAGCTAATTTCTGATCTATTTTTTAGAGTGTATTTACTTAAACAGGTAAAATTCTTAATCATTTGAAGGATAACTATAGACATTTTGCAAAGCTTATAAACAAGATATAACATGTATTTTGGAATGTCATAATCCAGACTCCTCTTCCATAATGTGCATTTAAAGAGGGTTTTCATCAGAGGTCCATTGTTGGACCTCTAGTTTTCCCTCTAAGTACTCCCTCTGCATGGGTTTAGTTTTAAAGCTAACCTCACATTTCATTTATTTACACAATACCACTACTGGTGAAATGTGACTCTAGGATGTCTTAAAATCCTTTTAGAGTACTTGGAAGGTATTATGATGTGAAAGGCTCTAAGCTAAAATTAAATGAAAACAAAACAGAAACCTCATGTCTTAGAAGCTTCAAGATTTTGCTTGTTTGAGGGATTTGCGGTATATACATTCTTTTTTTAAGGGGTCTCACACCACCTCAGTGAAATCAAGAGCTGGACTTTGACTGTGGCCCAGGGCCTTACTTTTTTTTTTTTTTTTTTAACTAGTTCTTAATGGATTTACTGGTGGAGAATGTAAAGTCTATGCATCACTCACATATTTCAAAGTCCAGTTATGGTCCAGTACACATTTTTTTTTTTTCTCAAGGAACTTCTGATAAAAGGTTAGAATTCATACTTGATTTCAAAGGACCCTGGTTGTTGAGGACTTCAGTTTTCTCTAGGGCTCGCTCGCTAATGTTTACTTTTTTCTCACCTTGAAAGTAGGATTTGTGAAGTATTTTTGTGATTGTAGAGGCATCTACCTTCACATCAACAGTAGCAAGAGACCATTTTAGGTCCTTTGATGACATCTTTGGTTATTATGCACACCTTTCTGAAAAAGTCATGTTCAAACTAGGGGGTGTAATTTTAATAACTAAAACATACTTTCAAAACTTATTCATACGCGTTATATCTTGTTTATAATCAAACTGAAGTGCTAACCAATGTACTTTTTGCAGATCATTACTCTATGGTTGAAGAAGTGAACAAGCAAGTGATGAACTCTGATGAGCAGAAACCTGAAGGTGCCCAGCACAAGAACCGCACCACTTTCACCCCGGAGCAGAGCAGAGCACTCGAGCGAGGTAATCATCCAGTTCATCATCCTGTGACATTCCGGCGTGTTTACGCTCAGGAAAATACACGCTCATCTCTCTCGAACCAGAATTTTCCCAGAGCCAGTACGCTGATCTGTATACAAGAGAGAAGCTGTCAGCTGAAATTAAACTTCCTGAGGACACCATTAAGGTATACTTTTGATCACCATAGTAGTTTGTATACACAAACACAATCAACATCATGAAACATGATGGCTCATTTCCTTCTTGTAGGTATGGTTTTCCAACAGACGAGCTAAATGGAGGAGGGAAAACAAACACAGAAGCAGAACAAAAAGTAAGGATGTTGGGGTAAAAATACAACACAACTGTGTATTTGGGAGAAACTGCAAAGCAGGGTTTAGTTTGCAAATAATTGTGCAAGTGTCACACAAATAGCTGCAAGAAAAAAAAAGAAATTGCATTCATATTTTTTTAGAAAACAAATCTCTTCCCTACAGCCTCAGACCTGCAGCAGCAAAGAGACTGCCTTCTTTTAAATCAAGCCGTCACACACAGCTTTACGTCACAGGTAGGTTACTTGTAGATTAAGCTTTTACACCTCATTTGGTCTTTGCTGTAGAACTTAAAACTCTGCTTGAATCAGTGGTGAGGGCAAACCTAATTACATTAAGTTTTTCTGGCTCTAAACACATCAAAATGTCAGATTTTCATGACATATTTATGTCATGTAGAAATGACTGATAAGTCACATCAAAGCATTTTTTCTCACATTGTGATATATATCAAAACATTTGAAATACAAACGTATTTGTTCAGCTTAAAGTAGGGATATTTTTCAGGGGACATTTCTATATGTATGGCACATGTCAAACCGAAGGCCCTGCAGGCAATTCTGGCCAACCGTAAGTTTTGATGAGGCCCTCTGAACACTAGGGACACATAAATAGGAACTTCAAGCTAACAGTTGTGTCCTCATATTGTACTTTATCAATCAAATAAAAGCAGTTGTAATCTGTGTTCTGACAAATGTGAAAAGATGTACATTATTTAATTTTAAGAAGTCTATCAAACGCAGAGACAGCTATTTATATCAATATTTTAAAAGGTTTAATGGGTTTTACCAATTCATTCTGACATAACTGGCCCTTTGAAGACATTCATGATCTTTATATGGCCCAAAAAATAATACTATACAATATCATTGCAATAGATGAGTTGAACTACTGCATAAGTGCTTACTGTTTTCATAGCATTTTCTCATTTGCATTCTGTAGCTAAAAAAACTGAAGAGGTTACAAAGTATCAAAAGGACTTCATTTTATAAAGGTATCAGTCAGGAGAAGGTACATGGTAGAATTTTCATCGGAATTTCTGTGGAAAGGATTTTGAAGTGATTAATCACTGTCCCATCTTTTACATTAAGTATGTCTTAATTTTAACAATGGGAGATGTACACATTCTTAAAAACGGTCATTGTTGATTGTAGGAAACGGATGCATTAAGAATAAACTGTCAACACAGTTTATTCTTACCCAGAGTCTCCAGGAAGCTACACAATGGCTTCTTCTCTCAAACAGCAGCTGGTAAGATCTTTTATCAGAGTTGAATTTTAATATGCTAAATAATCTAACCACTTTTATGTTCAAATTATTAGCCTACAAAGTTTCACTAATTCTATTCATGGGTGGAATAGTGAAGACTGCAATAAATAACTAGCATTGCAATGATAACCAAACGCATAATTTAGTGTTCAATTTGGACAAATTCCCTGTAATATTGGGTTTCAACTACTTGCACTCTACTTCTGCAATCCATTTATTTGCAAACACCTGGAAAGTTTTACAATTTTCCAATAAAACTAATTTGCAGGAAGAGTTGACTCGTAGGTACAGCTTTGATTTCTCTGCCAGCTACATGTATTTTTGCTTGCCAAAGTTTATTTTATTACTTCTTTAGATTTGTTTCTGTTGTGTACTTCAGTTATGTTGCCACCCAAATGTATTATCAACACGCATTTGAAGAGAGAAGGAGAGACAGTTATTAATGACACCGGTATAGACTATTATATATTTAGGCTCTAAATGCTGATGTTCAGATGCTTACAAAAGTCGCTTAAATATACATAAGCTTCATTTTTGGTAAATTTTCCAGTGAAGTTGCTTGATCCCTTCTAGTTTCTTATGCTTAGAAAGTATGACTTACAGGTGTGCAGGTGTATTAATATGTGTTCTCCCTTAGTTCCTCAGCAGGTGTTTGACACGTTGCCACACACCGCAAATAGGACTCCACGGCAATGCAACAGAGATGCAGTCATGTTCCCTCTGACTCAAGACAACATGTACCCAAAGAATGCTTTCCAGCTGGCCTCTGAGGACTTCATAACCCACTCCCATGTTTGCCAGCAGTGGAACAAGCAGAGCACATCGTTTATGTGGAGCCAGTTTCAAACAAATGGGAACTTCCTGTCTCACCAGGATGTGCATCATCTGGGGCGCATGGTATGAAAGTGAGAATGATGAATGAGTTTAGCATGCAGAGTTAAAAATGTAATTCTAATAGATTTTCGTAAATTACCTTTTAGACTGCAGAGAATTTCTGGCCAGTAGATGGAGACAAAAGACTGACATTGCAACAAGTCCTTCACACTTCGCTTCTGTAAAATGGATATACTGTGAAAAGATAAATTCAGTATTGCAGAAAAGATTTGTTTCATTGATACTAGAAAATTGATTCAGTAAAATATTACATTGAAAAGATCTGTCACATTGATTATTTGAGAAGATAAAAATAATGCAATAATTTCCCTCAGAAAACAGGAAAAAAGTAAATCCAGGATGTACTAAATAAAGTTGGAAAGATTAACCGTTTTCTTTCTTTCACTGGAATGTTTTACTGATGTGCCTTTCCAGGGAACAAGTTCTTAAATACTAGACTCAAAGCTCTGAGGTAACCAATAAACGCAGGCCTTGCTTCACAGGGAGTAGATTTTTAGAGGGTACATCAAGTGCTAACAGAGAAAATTAAAAGATAAATTAGAAAATGTTGCATGACCTCAATCCGAAGCACTTTCATGTTTCTTGTCAGTGAGTTGTTTGGCCTGATGACTTGTCAACATAAATCAAAGCTGCACGGATCATTTGCAATCACCATAAAGTAATATGGTTGCTATCGCTTTAACAGCCTGTGGGCTTTGCTGTTTTGCAAAAGTGCAGAAAGAGGTGAAGGCAGCCTTCCAAGATTTTCTAGGGAAAGCCAGTGGGAGAAACTTTAAAAGAGAAGCTTCAAAAAACTCTGAACATGACCTGATATCTGCATGGCTTCACATCTGTTTTATTACTGTAACAGGGCAAAGGCATTGAGTTTCTTTAAGTCCCTTTACAACAGCAAAGAGACAATATTCTGAGATCCCTGATAATTAGCCATAAGGGGAAGGCCCAGGATCAGAACACAAACAGCTTGGTCAGCAGTGTGGAAATGGCCTACTGACAAATGACCCTCATTGGAATAACACCATGAAGGTGGATAAGTAAATGATATCTCCACATGACAGCGTCTAAGCAGTAATTTGTACAATTACTTCTGTGCTGATGTGATTCATCCAATGAGCTTAATTTGAGCTAAAAGAGATGACCACCCACATTGCAAACCTAATACCGACACACACATAATTTTCAATGTGATTTTATTTAAAATCAAAACCAGAATTCAACACAGTCCAATTTAAACCAAATAAAGTAAAAACGCAAAAGCATTGCACCAGAAGTCCTTTCAATGGTAAAGAAAAACTGCAGAGATGAAGAAAGTAACACTTGCATCAATAACTTTATATGAGACAGAGAGGCAAGTCAGAGCCCTGAATATTTTAAATAGAAAGGAGAAAAATCTCCATCAATGGGTATGTTGAGAGAAAACAAAGTACTCAAGACATAAGGACTAAGCTAAGAGTGCTTTTTCTTGAACTGTGCAAGGAGTATGCACTTTCGATTTCCACAGGCAACAAAATCCAAGAGTAGAGGTTATTGATGGCAGCAATAACTCAGTTAATGTCTTGCCATGAAAACTGGACAAACAGGTAAGCCAGAAGCTTTGAGTCAGGAAGGGGTTCCCCAAGCCCCCAGGAGCTACGATCCTGCAACTTTTACATGCATTCCTCTTCAGTAGTTAACCAAAACAGCTTACCAAACTAGTTATTCAGCTCTGGAGAGGCCTGGTAAGGACTCATTCATTATCATCAGATGTGTTGCGGAAAGGATGCATCTAAAAGGCATGGGATGGTAGCTCTTGAGGATTGCCCTCAAGCACCACTGGTTTATGGCAAACAAAAACAAAATGACGCAATTATTGACCAGAATCTGTAAGACAGACAGATAATTACCCAATTCTGAGTCAGGATTCCTTTTATGTAAGAGAGGTAAAAAAAACCAACAAAACAATTTAATAATGCACACTTTTTCCATCTGCCTAAGTTTAACTGGGCATGGCAGCCAGCACAGGGCGTTTGCCAACCTCTCCTGTTTTTATCTTTTTACTTGCTTCAGTAGACTTGACACACTGAAAGTGTGTGCAATTTTTACTTTTCTGTTAGTTTCCAAAGAAAAAAAAAGTGGAACAAAAACAAATGAAACAATGCATAAAAAACATCTTTGAACAAATAAATTTCACATTCAGAAATGTATAGGAGGAAAAAAACTATACATCACCAGAAACATCCCTGTGCTTGTCAAACACTGAACAGCTTCACTGAATGAAGCAAAAAGGAAAACAGGTGTATGGCCAAAGCTAATCAAATTCAAGGTAACCACACCTGTTGTTCCTGGCACTATACTGCCCCCTTGTGGGTCAATGGGGTAATACAACCACGTTAAAGTACACTATCTTAGCTGTACATTAGCAGTACCCCATTGTTGACAAACCACAAGAACAAAAAAGACACTGGTGAACACAAAGCACTCACTTAGCACTTTTCGTTGAATTTAAAAATTAAAAAACAAAAACAGAAGGCTACACTCATAATAACATCAGCTCTTTTAAAGTGAATAGCAAAAGAAATTAGCAAAGTTTAGGAAACTATGCTATTGGGTGCTATTAGCACCTAAATGCCAAATTTCAGAGGGATGTATTAGCAACTCACAACATGTATTTAATAGTTTTTTTTTTCTGTCAACAGACTGGGCTGAAGGGAAAAAAAAAACCCATCTTGAAACTGGAGAGCATCTAAACTATGGACCGAGTCCATTACAAACAGGACATTCCCAGTCTCATCCTCTTAAACTCTTTATTTCATAATGCAAGTGGAATAAATTCATTTCTGGAGCAGTTGCATCTATCAAATGCAAAAAAAAAAAAAAAAAAGAGCTGCGACTTTTTACAAGTGCTGCCCTAAGAGCGCAGTTTGTAAACAGGATACACAACGTCTCACGAGAGATTATTTTCTTTGTGCTTTGAATATTTTTATCAATGTTTAGAGTGGCCGAATCTCAATACCTGTCCTCTGTCTTTCATGCAAGAAAACCCTAGAATACTGTTTTAAATCCTCCACTGATGACTTGGCACAAAAATTAAGCTTAAATCTGGAGCACAAAGCATTTCTTATCTAATGTTGAGCAACCCCAAAGTTGGCCGAAAAGCTCATCCAGAGTGAACTCCACACCACTTAAGCCAACGATCTCCGCATTTGTTATCCCAACGTTTCTGAGGACGTTATAATTTATCTCCTTGACTAGTTGTATGGATAACCCCTGCTGCTGCAGCCACTCAAGAATATTCATCATGCACAAGGCCTTCGCTTCACTCAGCAGGAGAAAGTCACGACCGCCAAAAGCAGAATGAATGGAATTATACGAATGAAAACACGCGGAGGAAGAGAAGCGGGCCACTGTAAAGCTGTTTATTAAAAATATGAATATAAAAGGATACAAAAATCTAAAAAATATCATGATACAAAAGAAATAGCAGCTGTATTTCATAAGTGTGCTGTTCACAAAATATACAACTCATATCTACATATTTACATTACGTTAGGCTGAATTAAATAACAGTTGCAACACATTCAGGATATAGTCAAAACAAAACTCCCATGGAAATAAAAACATTTGGCATTTGGTTTCACCTGTCAGCTGAGATGCACATTTTCTGGATTTCATTTGTAAAATGTACATGAGCAGTTTGGATTTGCAGTTACATTGTAATATTGTCACCAGTTATATATTCATAAAAATGAATTTAGACTCTTGAAGGCAGAAGATTTGCAATGTTTCTTTTGGGCAGCAAAAGGTAAAGACATAAACTTTACCGACTGCTTTTGCAACATAATCAGAAAAGAACCAAAAAGTTACAACAGAAAACGAGGAAGAAAACAAGAAAAGAAAGTCCTGAAATGTTCTTGTCCATTTTAGAAGTTTATCTCATTTGTAATGAACTGAAAAGAGATGGAAAGTGACACTTTGGTTTGTCGGATCAAGGCAGAAAGCTGAAACTCATGGAGATCACGTGCTGGAGATAGAAGAATAACAGCACAACACGGTTTGTTTTTGCATAGTAGAGAAACCTCTCACTCTGCAAACCTTCTTTCAGCCACATTTCAGCAGCTGATGAGCCATCTCTGTGTTTTTGAGGAATCTGAGTGAACCGTATATTTGCTTTCTTCACATTTCGCCCAGCTTTCCAACTTTTTTGATACCATGTTTGTAATATGACCCGCAAAGTAAGCATACCATCAAATTATGAACCCAATTATGACAATTTTTGTCCTCTCAGTTAAAAAAATAAATATAAATTACTACATCCTAGTAAGTTTTTGCTTTTTTAAATATTCCACACAATCAGAAGTTCAAAGAAGCCCATCCGAAGCCTATAAATGAACCAACAATAATCCAGATCTATAAGACCTATAAAAATGTACACAATGTCACAATGGAAAAAAAAATAAATCTGCAGATCTGTACACACACTCACTTTTTATATAAATGAAGAAAAAATATTCTACTGACCACACACAGCCCACCAGGGGCCACAGTTCCCTCCAAACTGGATACCAAACAGCCATGTTATATTTGGCATGGCTCTTCTCTCTCTCATGCTACAAATATTAGCATAAGATCTGGAGCAGTTTGCTCAGTCCTACTTACTCTCTCTCTCGGGGGGGAAACCAACAGTTACAGTTAACTGGGGAAAAGGTAGTTCGGCTACTGCACACAATTAAATCTGCCAGGTTGGCCACGGTTGCCGCTGTTGTGTATTCGATGTACTCATATTAACGATTTATGTATCCAAAGTCCAATTTTTCTAACTCCGCTGGACCTACAGTCAGACAGTTTTGGCTTCATAAACCATCTGACTTACTTATTTTCTCATAGGGAGCCTACGAGGAATTTTCTAATGACATTTTCATGCTTACGTTTTCATTCTTTTAGCCGTTTCCGCAGTTGTCTGCTTGATGCTTTTAACACTGAAACAACTAACAGCTGTGATATATGCAAAGTACCTGACAACCAGAGCAGATGAGTCCATTTATACACTGGACTGGAGGCCAAAAGTGCCACAATAAAAGAATAAATAATTTGACAGATAAATATTGATGCACGTGTGTTTAGAAATAAACCATAATGAATACACTAAAACTTTAATTAATCATGCTAATGTGTTGCTATATAAATAGTTACATTTATATTTCTAGCATAGGATAAATTCAAATGATCCTAATTAATAATATATTTTACAAGACTTGTGTATTTATAATATACATTTAAGTCATTGATTTAAATTATCACCTATTTATTTGGAGATACCGAGAGAGATAGAGAGAAAAAGATAGGTAGATAAATTTGTTTAATATATTTATTATAGTTTAACTTAAACTTACACATGTCTGATTATCTAATTGCTGGATTGTGGAACTTTTGGCCTTCAGCATTGTTTCATCTTTCCCATACAATTTTTTTAAAGTAAAAGAAAGCAATTTGTAGCCCAGCTAAACAAATTGAAAGAAACAGAAATCCCAGTTGAAGAGGAGCTACCTTTACTGGTAGCCATCACAGGAACCAGGTTCAAGTACATTCCAGGAGATAAGGTCACCATCTGACTCACAAACAACTTTTGTGATGCCTTATTTGCATAAATTTAGAAATTCTGAACATGTCACAACAAAGACGCTTGACACATGTGCCAAAGACTATAGTCGCCAAAACAAGCACACCTGGAATTTTAAGGTGGGTACATTCCATCTTTTAAATCTGAGTGCCAACAGAGTGGCAACTCTCCCAAAGGTAGTTTTTCCTCATTGCTTGGTTCAGCTTGAAGAGGACTTGCGATGCTTTCTGGTCCCGATTGCCTCTTCGTCGGCAGCCCAGTGCAGCGTCCACAACAGGACTCTTCCCTACACCGCCCCATCAGTTCCTCGGCAAACTGGGGTAAAGTCTAAACACTTTGTAAATCCACTCTGAATAGAACGCAACATTAACAAACAGGGCAGGTTGCGCAGAGGCACATTTAGTCCTTGGGATGCTCACACCGACGATAACTTTTCGTTGATGCTCCTGGCAAACCAGCGGGCCGCCATAATCTCTCTGAAATTAAATGAACACAAACAGTAAGTCGACAGTTCTAATAATGAACCTCTTCTACAACTAAATCGAGCCTAAAATGTGCTAAACTGATTTGACACTCTTTGCATAACATCTCTATAAAATCCATGACAAAAAAGGACATTTAAACAAGAACACCGTTTCAGCCACGCAAAGCAGACACACTGTTGACACTCACTTCGCATACACCTTCACCTATGTTGCCTCCAGCGCATATTCTGCTCTTCTCTGCATCCCCTTTGATCTGTGAGCACATTTCATTGTCGACCATGGGCATTGTCACGGAGTTCAGAGCTTCATCCAGGCCTGTATCTGAACAGAGAGGGATCTACAGTCAGCGATTTAATAAATACTCTATGGTATAAATAGTTGAGCTTCAACATCTTTAAACATTGACAGGGTGATGGAGTTAGGGTGAAGGAAGGCAGTACTTTTTGTCTCCCCCCATCCGTACATGGTGCAGTTGGTGCCCTCAGCGATGTGACACTCTTTTACCGGGAGATGAATAGTCGACGCACCTTCAGACACCGGAGCAGGACTGAAACAAACATAAGGGTAATTTACAACCACGCAATCTGAGGATTAAGATGTACATTTCTGTGAAATAATTTCAAGAATAATTTCAAAAACAACTACCAAACATTGGTTTCATTTAATAAGAAAAAAAAAAAAACCTTAAATTAACCTGGCTTTTTGTGAAAACATAATTACCCCCTAAACCTAGAAACTGTTAAGCAGCAGAAAATGCTGTCATGGATGTGTAATAAATGCAAATGAAGTGTTTTACATTCCAGTAGAGGAATTTTGGCCAACCCTTAATTGTAGGATTGTTTTAATTTAACATTCTCTTTCAGGAATTTCTAGTGGAGAGGATAAGTTATGGTTCAGCCACATACATCAAATTGTTCAGCTTCTGACGCAGCAAGAACATCGTCTCCCTACAACCAACATGTTTTACTTTCTGGAGACCCAAACTGAGCAAGTAGCATGTTGATAGTTAATATATTTTTACAGATAAACGGAAACATCATTGCTAGCTGGGTACTTACTTCTCTAGTTTCAACATAACCAGATTAGATCCTTCTGGGCCACATATCAGGCGAGAAATTCCCAATCTAGGACGGTTTGAAGATTCGTTCAGGTGACGCAGCCCGACTTGAACGCTATAATCGTTGAGGTCTGGAACACTGACGAGAGGTATAAAAAAAACCACCAAAAAAACGGTAAGACACAGAGAAAACAATGGTATTCTTGATCATTTGGGGAAAGTACAAAAAACCCAGATCATTACCAGGACGTGAAGCACTGCTCATAGGTGGTCAAGACCCAGTCCTCTCTGATCAGTGATCCACCACACCGATGAAGCTTCCTAAGACAATTTGCAGAAATAATTTGTGACTTGGCCAATCTTTGCAAACTTTGAGAGTGTTCCATAAAACAAACTTACTTTCTTTGAATGCTCACAACCCAGCCGCCATCTGTTCCTTGCACTTCATGTCCTCCAACTATTCTGGTGTTTATATGCACAAAGCATGATATCTTGGGCCTCGTTAGATCTATATAAAGAGATATTTTGATCATGTATACTATAGCTTCAAAAGATCAACCATGAAATATGATTTGTTTAGCCAGGTAAATGAACACAGAAGGGTAAGATCTAAAGAATTACAAGGAAAAGGGAGGAGATCAGAGATAGGACGCCAACGAAAAAGATTAGACAAGTGAGGGCAGATGAGCAAAATGGATACTCACTGTTTGGTTGAGGAGCCACGGTTGCTGATTCGCCTAATATAAGAAAATCACAACAGTAAGAACAGACCTCACAGCAGCAGGGAACATAAGAAAATGGCAGGCTTTATAAAGACTTATCTGCACGTCTGAATCATTGTTAGAGGCTTTGACAGCAAACACTGCGGATAAATTTGTTCAAGACCTAAAAATCTCATGGAAGACATGTTTTACATTATGGAAATCATTATGCAGCCATTCATAAGAGGTTCTTCAGAGCACCGAGATTGAAACCAGCCACAGAAAATGTTGGATCCAGGAACCGGTGTTGTTTTTTTTTTTTTAAATAAAAGACTGGCAGTCGGGTTCACCATCTGTTAGCTGTTTGGGCAATGTGTATTATCTGCCAAACAAAACCACAGCTTAAGGATCACACAAGGCATCAGACAAGATGGAGAAGCGAGGTGCTATTATTGTGCTCTGTTGTGGTTCCAAAAGTTTGTGAAACAAAATTATTTTATTTATTGCACCACACCTCAACACCAGAACAATCTTTCAGTCAGTGTGGCTTAGGAATCCTGAAATACTGGTTGAAACTGGAGGATTAACTGCAAAACAAACACTTTCATGTTTGATAATTCTCCTTCCAACAAGACCAGTTAATTTTTGATCGCTGAATGACACTTCTGAGGTGCTTGAAAAAAAAAAAAAACATTAAACATTAAAAAGCCAGCAAGCTTTGCACAGCACCAAAAACAGGAAAGAAAAAGAGACACAAATTCTTTCTGGCTGTATATTAGAATTATGCTAATCATCAAAGCCAATACTTTTGACTTGTTTCTCAAAAACTACTAGTTAAGTGGCTCAGCTTAGCAGAAAGAAAGTAATATGTAGGCAAAAAGCTAGCTTGGTTACATCTATGGCCACAGATTGCTTTGTTATTTGCAATATATCTCAGTTTTGCTTTGCGGTATAGAATAACATTCTATACAATATTCTATTTATGTGTGGTACCTAGCAACAAAAAGTGAAAAGACTTGCCTTAGAACAGACAAGTTCTGACTTGTTTCATAGACAGTTATTTCTTGCAAAGTTGGTTAAACTTTGTGCAAACACACAAGACTTCTTTGTCTTGTGTGGGGGGAAAAAAAGTAGCTTTCTCCATCAACAAATTATGTCTCCATCATCCAAAAAGGCGAGCTAATAATAGTAACCATCAGAGGTAGTTAACCTTCAGAAAGACAGATTGCGGTTTTTTACATCTGCTTCAGTATTAATCCTGTTTATGCAACACCTGGAAACAGGTGCATCAGCTGGGCCTCTTAAAGTTTATGAAAACAGAAGCGTCCAGGTTCTGTAGTTCCTGAAATTTTGTTTCATATGTTAGAAGCGCTTTATTGACTCACATTGCTTCAGCTTGCAGTAGTCCCAGACCAAGCGGTTATTTGGACTCGTGTAACACCAGGGGCCATGTTTGTCTCGGTCTGGATTCCGGCAGTAGTTCCTCTCCAGCCCTACGTGGGATATTGTAGAGTGAGAATCCCCACTGTAAGACACACAAATACAGGTTCTCATATTGCATTTGTTATCATGTGCACAGTGTAACAGAGAGCTAACACTGGGTCACATCTCATGAAGATTAATACACACCCTCTCGCTCTAAAAATAACCAAGTATGTGTATACTGCACATGGAGTTGCGCTGTCACGCACATACAGTAGATTCAAACTGTAAGCAATCCCATTATGCCTGGAAAGTTTGGCTCTGTGTTTCTTATAGCGCAATGAATCCTTCGCCTTTGCTGCACAGAGCACATAGAAGGAAACAGAGTTTTCTGAAGGGTGCTCAAGGGAGTATGAAAGTATGCAGTCTAAGCATTCAGCAGGGCTCAGACCAGCAGGAGCCACAACCTCCATGGAACGATTTGGTTGTACTCTTGGTAGGAATTCACATCTAATCATGTGTCTTTTCGCCACTTGGCTGTACAAGAATTAAATGCAATCTTCTCAAATATCCAAAATACCCTTGAAAAGTAATTACGAGGCAGGGGTTTGGACACACAGGCACAAAAATGATGCCAAGCGAAGGGCAACAATTTGTCAGGGGGTGAAGATAATTCCACTTCCCAGGAGAATGTTAAACAAGCTGTAGCTCTCAGCAGTTTTCCCTGGGATGACCCTTAACCTTGAGCGGGGTAGACTTGCTGGCTGCAGTGAATGCGAGGGAGCTGATTGGCTTTGATCTGTTCTCCTCAGAAAGCACTTCCTTGGGTCAGGGGTCGGTTCTGGAACATGTCCATCTGTCTGTGCCATTCTGGCTTTTAAAATTCTTGTAAATTAAGTAAATGCAACAGCCTTACTTTAGCATAAAGCAACAGGTCCTAAAATGGGCAACGTCTTAGTCAGGGTGGGTCACTTGGGGAGGACCCCAGAGCTTCCCCTCATCAGTAAACTGAATAATAATTAGACCTGGTACGGACCCCCGAGGCACCCCGATTTCCTTTCACTGTTTATTTTCACTGCTTTGCTTCATTAATATTAAAGAGACTTTCACAAAGTGATGGGAACTGAACTGTCAACACTTACCCAGACAAGAGAAAACAAAAAAAAGTAAAACAAGTCTACACCGCCATGGCGGCAAGAGCAAGTTCTCTTTACATTGTTACCTGTTTATATGAGGAGCCCAGTCTGCACAGGGAATTCCTGATCGAGTTGTCGATAAGGCGCCTCGGTACATCTCTCCATTGTCTTCGTAACAATCTAGAGAGGCGTGAGATTAAATCTCATTAAAAATTCACCAGTGTGCCAAGGAAAACAAAGTCATGCAGTTTCGCAAACACCTGAATATCTACATAGCATTAAAGCATAATCATGCATTTGCAAAGAGAAACAAAAATACGTTTCACTCTGGTGGCTTGGAGCAGTTCGGCGTTGATGACAGCCTGTGTAACTATTGCTCCCCACATATAACAGAACATTTAAACATCATTGATACTATATCTGTTCGAAAACAGAGGGCTTGTAGTAAATGCCATGTGTGGTCCTCTGAGTTACAAAGCAGGGGAACATGGGAAACGACAGCGAGCGCTATTGCCAAAGTCTGGTGTTTTTGTTCTCCAGTGAAATGGAATTCATTGGGCAGCATGCTGCCAAGGGGCTCAGTCCTGTGAGAGTGATATAGAAACGTCTGAGTGTCTTTGCAAAAACATGACATGTGTCTTTAAGCATCTGTGGTTCGGTATTTGAATTATGTTCTCTAAGGAAGAATGCCGGGTTTTCTTTACAAATTACAAGACGTTTGTTATTTGTTGCTTCTGATGTTCATGAAAAACATTTTGTCGGTGACGTATTTAGAAAACATGTTTCTTATTTGAATACATCGTTGCTTAAACCAGCGAGGCTAAAAGCAACAGCATGAAAAATGCTCTTGGTAAACTTGAACTTCACATTTCTGCCAGCTATCCTCACCCGACTGTTGCAAACATTTAGGGTAGATTGTAATGAACGTACTACAGTAATTTAGACCTGAAACAATTAATTGCATTAATTGTGATAAATCCTGAAATAATTGTCAACTAATTTAGTAATTGATTAATTGCATACAAGATGCAAAATAATGACATTGACTGAAAAAAACAGCTTATTCAGAGCAGTAATTAAGTCCAAATTAATAATAATAACAATAAAAAAATATCTGTAAATATGTTTTAGCCAAGACCTCAAGCAGCATAGTTTTAGTTTCACCCAGTTCAAGTTTTATTGCATTTTAGGCAATAAAGTGTTTATTTTCTTATTTAAAATAAAACTAAAGTATTTATTGATTTGCTTCTTTAATATACTCATAATATTGCTCAAGAAAGGCTTAGTTTACTAAAATAATCATTAGTGGCAGCCCAACAATAGTTTTGTTTTGAGTGAAAGCTGGAAGCTCAATTGTCTACTGGTTGCTTTTTAGAAACGTTCGAATTTTCAATGCAGGTTAAATAATGGACAAAGAAAAACAGAATAACATCTACGTATTTACCTATTTTTGGTGTGGCTTCTGCATCACATCTGGGGATATGGGTGCACTTTGCAATCCTCTGGTCAGGGTCTGTGGTGAAGCACCATGGGTAATCTGCTCCATCGGGGTTGCGGCAGTAATTTTCCCGAAGGTCTCTGTAACAAACACATTGGCTACAATTTAAATGACGATGCTGATGACGGTGTTGTCGACAGTTCTTTATTTGGTTTCAGGAGGTCTGCATGTCTTCCCATCGCTCACTTGCATTTGAAGTTCACAGGGAGAAACGAGTGGTTGTGGGGGAACTGGGAGTCCCACCGCTGACACGTCACACCCTCTGGAGTGACGTTCATCGTCCCGCGGTAATTTGTGCCATCCTGCTGGATGCAGGACGTTGTTGTGTTGACATCGATTTCCTCACTGTGGTCTGAGTCTGCAAGAGAAAAATGTTGCGGGATCCATGAGAAAGATGGGAAAGTCACCAGCTGGATCACAACATAAGAATGAGGGAGGAAGAAAAGGAGGAAGATGTTAATCCTCTAAAAAATGTGTCATGTTTAATGTAGAGACAGATGATCAAAAACAGTAGCACTCCCTCCATGCTGCTATTGGCATAGGAAACTCACAACAGTGGTGCCACATATTCTTGCACACAGGGATTTCCACCAGCATTAATTAATCAATTTGCTCAAAGTAGCGCTCATATGCTTGCAAAATGACATCTTCTAAAAATTATTATTAGTTGTAAATTTCTTGGGTAAAAGAGAAACCATCCACAGGACCTTCTGAAAATATTCAATTGCCTTTGACCTGCCAACATTTTGTCAAGTCTCGTCTCTGGCAAGACGAGACTTGACAAAAAATTGATTGTCACAGACTGTCATTTGAGTTGAGCTATTTTGCAAATATCGGGCGAACCCTTCAGGCCAGGAGTCTTCAACTCCATGCCTCGAGGTCTGCAACTTTTAGATGTGCCTCTGCTTCAACACACCCCAGTCAAATAATGAGATCATCAGCAAGACTCTGGAGACCACAGCTGCATTCGGAGGAGGTATTTCAGGCATTTGATTCAGGTGTGTTGGAAAACGGACACGTCTAAAAGCTGAAGGACACAGGCCCTGGAGGTCGAGTCTTGAAGACAGCTGGTTTAGCCCATCGATGTACAAATCTGATAGAAACACATCATAAAAGACCTGCAGCTGGATTTGTAGTGAAATGTTGTACACAGTACCATTGCAGAGAGGGTGAGCAACAGTGACGCATCTAAAATGTTAATGTAACACATCAAAGTTTGCTTTGTAATTTGTCTAAATTGGAAAAGTTTCGGAAGTTACAAATGCCTTTGCACCCTTACCAGTCAGCTTTGAGCCACTTCAACCATCGGCAAACTATTTCAAACATTTTCAGATGGAATTCAACTTTTAGCAGTGCAAGGGTAGCGGCACTTCTCCCCTCTGGAACCCTGTCTTTGTTTCTTTAGCCTTTGACAGATGAGATGAGGGAAGATGGAGGAGGAACGGGAATGTTTTGAGGCAGAAACGAAAAGGCGGTTGGAAGAGAGGGATTCTTTGGATTGATGTAACGCATGCCAGTGTCTGTGTGCGCCGCACAGTACAGGTCAGTGGTTTTTATCTCACTGAGGGCAGGCATTGAGGGATGCACACATCTGGACAAATGAAGAACCTCCGTCCTCGCCGTAAATCATAAGCTGTACTGTAAAATGCATGTGTGTGTGCATGGGTTTGACGGAGAGAGAAATACGTTGTGTGTGTTTAGAGGATGCGTACAGCAGAGCATTTTGACAAAAGAAAGAATTTGCTAATGACATGAATGTTTATTCCATGCTTCTTTTACCTCTGAAGACCAAATGCTGTCAAAGGTACAAATCAAACTCAAAGCCAAATGTAATCTGAGTCAAGTGAAGTTATATTATTCACCTCTACCCTAATAATGTGTGTCAGGTGTGTAACAACTCAAGGTCTGTAAGGTTTCCCCCAAATTATTTCCATTTACTTTCTGATGAAACACCGTTTCCAACAGATCTATTCTCAATTTGTGCATTGATTAAAGACGACAGAGCTCTGCCTGAGACGTCAGAAAGTCCAAAGTCTCCGACTGCTGTTAAGTAAGGTTGAAGTCTAGTGTCTGTGCGGGCCATAGCATATGATTCACATCATTTTCATGTTCATCACACCATTCGCTGACCCCCCGAGCCTCTGGAGGAAGCATCTGCACTCGCTTTCTTCCTTTCACATTAAATTGTCTCTAAATGTTGCGATTCAAACCCAACGTTCGTGCCACTAACAGCTACTGTCCCCTTTCAGAGCCCATATTGTCATGCAAGCCTCGTCATGTCTGCTGGACATTCTCACATTTTGTCATGTGAAAACCACAAAATTCGGTGCATTTTGGGGTGATTATCGGTGACACATCAACACAAGGTAGTGCTCTATTATGAAAGGGGAAAAAGTGACACATGGTTCAGGCTGCCTTAGTCAATAGTTAGAAGAGCCACTTTTTTTGTTGCAGCTACAGCTGCAAATCTTTATATGTCTATGTAAACTTTGTACATCGAGAAAATGAAATCATTGCTCCATCTATTTTCCTGACAACTCAAACCGACTTCCCTGAACTTGTTGAAGAATTGCATTCCCACAGCATGCAGTCGCTGATTTCACTGTGATTATGGAGCTCTGTGGATGGAGGACGTTCGCTTTTTCTTTTTTTTTAGTTGTTGTTGGCTCTACTGGCCTTTATTTGAAAGTAGTTAGACAGGAAACGGGATGATGAGAAAGGGAGAAGACATGCGGCAAATATCTCCAGGCCGGCAGAAATCAAAACTGTGACCACCGCCACGAGGACTAAGGCCTCAATACTTAGGCCATGCTTTGCCCCTGCACCACCACAGCACCCCTGATGATATTTGCTTAAAACAGCTTGTGGCAAACTGCAAATAGAGTCTCTCATGACATTTCAACACTTGCTACTTTCACATAATGGCCAAATTATGAAGAAATATCTCTTAAGACTTCACTAATTATGGGTCATATAGGGCTACTGCATTAAAATGAACTAAATACATATACACCAAACACGTTTCTTATGTTCATTTGTAAAAAAAAAAAAATCATAATTTTTTCTTTCTTTTCATACACAAGATTGGCTTGACTTTGTGTTGGTCTGTCATATAATCTCAACAAAGTACATACAAGTTTGAGTATGTAATGTCGCAAAATGTTAAAAAAGTTCAATGGGTACTTATGTCTTTATAAAACCCCGTGTGAAACATGTTGGTACAGTGGCCTTCATTGTCACTGTTCAATTTTCAGCCTCTTTATTCAGGCAGATGATCCCAGTAACAAACAACATATTCGCTTTTTCCTTGTTGAGGTGGAAGGATCTTAAGCCAAACACCACATTAAACGACGACTTCCAAGACTTCTCAAGGGGGAACTATATTTTCAGACAACCACTAAAACCACACAACAACTTCAATGATAAAACCTGCTGGTGATACAAAACCAAAAAAAAGGGACCATGTCTTTAACAGATTCACAGTTGTGTGACACATTGTTTGAAGGTTAGCAGCGTGAAAGATGTTGAGAAAAATGTAGTCATAAATCAGAGCAAAAACAATCAGTTGGTCTTGTCACACTTTCTTTGAAGACTTTAGTCAACAAAGCTCCCAGCTGGAGATATAAAACACCCTTACCACACATGGTAATGTTGCAGTACTCCCACGGAGTTCTGGGATCCATGGTGTAGCACCAGGGCCGCAGACGGTTATTTGGGTTACGACAATAGTTGTCCCTTAAGTCTTTATCTCGATACCTGCAGGGAACGAGTGAAAAGAGGGAGAAAAGGAAGTCGGGTGGGAAGTAAGTCATAACAACTGGTGAGGTCTACCTCTCCTGAGCATTAGCGTCATTTATTCAAGCATCTGTCATGGGTGTGTGCTGGTGTCTGTGAGAAAGATCAACGTTGTGGATTTCAGCTTACTTTTTGGGCTGGAACGGGTGTACATGAGGCCATTTTGAGTCCCACCTCTGGCACTCCTTGCCGCTTTCTGTTTGGTCCACTTTGCCTCGATAATCCTCCCCATTGCACCTCATGCAAACTTCTGCCAACAAAGAAACAATAATTATCAAAATGTTGTTTCCCCTTTTCATGAAAGCAAACAAAACCTAAGGCACAGAGAAAACAATAAACTATGCAAACATTAATTAAACTCTTGAGTGCCTCTCGATTTTGGCTTTACTTAAACTGAAACGTTTTGTCCACAGAGGAGATTTTGTCTTACCCTGTGAACACTGTGGTATTCCACACTCCTCAGCTCGTACATTGGGGTCTGTGGTGTAGCACCATGGACCACCAGGGTCGTTGTTGGGATTCCGGCAGAAGTTTTCCCTCAGGTCTTGCATTGGGTACCTGTCTGGGTAAAACCTAAGGAGGCACAGACAGACATCACTGAAGGTGTTAACCGATAGCATGAGCCGTAAAAATAAATTTGCAGGAGTCCTTGCACGCTTGCTTGTAGCGGCCGTGTTTTTAGTATCACACTGGCCTGCAAGCCCAGTCCATAACAACTCAAATAAATTCAAAGGGAAACTTAATTATGTTAAATGCATAACTCTGAAATTCAAGCACCTGCAGTCTGAGCGGGCTTCGTTTTCTTTACGTCCTGGAATGATCTCTCATAGCAATCAAATGCAAACAAAGTCATCAATACGTCTCTCATCTCCATGTTAGCACCTTTTGCATAATCACATTACTAATTCCAACCATTTCCAGACTCTGTGATGTGTGAAGCAGCTCAAATGTCACAGCGCAGTAACCAGCAGCAGAACAGAGTTACGCTACGGGCCAGTTGGAGCAGCCTGAGCAGCTCCTCCGCCGGCCACCTTTGAGCGCATTTAAAGGTAATCCTTCTCTGTCAACTGTTACACCACATTAGTGTCAAGGAAAGTGTTAGAAATAAAAAATAGCATCTCGTGCAAACATGGTGTAGAAAAGAAGGGGCGGCAAAGAATCCCCCCCTCCCCAAGCCAAATGGACAGTGCGTAAAATTCATCTTCTCCAAAGGCAGGATGATAAAAACCTGACACGTCAGCACTCCCTGATTCATGCAGACCACAAGACAGCGACTGATGACAGAAGGGGAAGCTTCAGACTCACTTTACCAAAGAGAGGCAATATGAAACGAATGAATGGGAACTGAAAAGGAAAGCGTGAGAAACGTCAAAAATCTTGTCCAACGAGTAACAGAAAAAAAAAACAAAGTTCTTCCTTCTGTAACTTGTTTAAACACTTCCTTGTAGGCCTATTGTATGGCTTTTATGAGGCTCTTTCAAGATTTCACTGATTATGCAAATCATTCCATCTAACAATGAAAGTAAGCTTAGTTTTTAACTTGGCAAATAAAATGAGTGTGACAGTGAAAATGGACAAAAACCATTCGACCTCACAGTCATGCCTAGATCCTCCGTCCTACGTTCTCATTTATGCATGTTACTAAAACAAAACACTTGCTTCAAAACAGCATGAATCTTTGCTTCGGGCCAAAGATCACATCTGTTTTGTGTAACTCACAAACTTAGTACACTGTAGGACTCTATCAGAAATGCTGTGTTGTTAATTTAGAAACGGAATCACGAGTTTTCCCACTTTAAGTAAAAGTTTAGGGAGAACAGAAAAGGCTGCAGCATGGGAGCAAGTTAGCTGTAATGATGTTTTGCTAACAGATGTTGGCCAGTTATTCATCATTTTGCCAAAATCTGTTCCCATTGGACTGCAGTCAGACACTCTGCACACATGCTTCCTTCTTTGAGCCAACAACACATATTGGCTTGATTTTGGATAACACCGAAGATGAAATCTGGGCCTGAAGTAACTGCTGCAAAATGTCTGAACAAAATTTACAGCAAACTCTGTATTTCAGGTGAACTCATAATTTCAGTGGGGAAAAAATAACTTACGTTTTTCTAACCTTGTTGTATATGCACAAATATAATTACAAAACAATTTAGAAATTCAGGATACAAACTAAAGCACATCAACTAAATATTCATGCCATATTTTCTTCCAAAATAGAAAAAAAATGCAAAAAAATTACTGACCAACTGTTGCTAGACAAGTAGTATTAAGTAAGATTTTCTTAGCTCAATTAACTATTACATGCACTGTTTCATTCACATTAAAAAGATGATTAGAAGAATTTTAATGCTTATTGAAATTACATAGAAGAGTGTAATTTTTCACTTTCTTTTAACTGAAAAGTTTCCCAGAGCAAACACATTCTGCCATCTTTAGCATTGTTTGGCTAATATTAGCCATGCAAAAATATTATATAATTCTAGCAACTGAATCTATAGTGTATGCCCCAACAACACATACATTAAGTCTACCTACAAATACTTCTAAAGCTTACAAATATTTAAACATTAGAAGGAGAAACAGTTTTTACCAGCTTAAGCTTTGCTATGCTATCATTAGCTAAGAAAACCCAGAACTGGCAAAATATTGACCATATTGTCACGGAAGACCGAGAATATCTGCCTATAAACACTTAAGCCTCAATAAAATTAACCATCTCTGATGTTTTATTTAAGATGCTGTGCATAAAAAAAAACAAGCTCTCTGTTTTTACATCATAAAATCTCCCTTCAACCAAACAGACACTTGTGGATTGATCACACTTAACACGCAACGTCTCTTTTTGAAGTTCAAAACATTGTAAAATTCGTTTCCCTAATTCCTGGATCTCCACAAACGAGAGGGCTAAATCAAGCTCAAGTTCTCATGTAAAACAAGAAGGAGTTGCACATTCTCCACGCTTGACTGGCTGACACCGCTTTCAGCTTAAAGCCTCAAAGACAGACAACAGGTGGAAGTTCCACTCCTTGACGGGTACCTCCTGAGAAAATACTTCCTCCCCACCACCTTAATAAGCCAAGCATGAAAATAATAGTTACCTGAACCTCAAATGGCGCATTGTTCTGTGGGGTGGTAATTCTCACACAGCAGGGCAGTCCCATGCTATGTATGTCCACAGTGGTACTAAATCTCCCTTCAGTTAATCTCTTATTTGAACATTTGACATTAGAGGTCCACTTCTATTGGAGTAGAGCACGGAGACCATGTGTCAAATAAACGATGACAAAGGTTTCCTTATGTTAACCACTGCTTGTGGAAAGTGATGACAGGACCGGGACAGTGCAGAACAGGAGAGGAGCCACACTGCAATCTGTTTTAATTGTGAGCAAACCTGTGTATTCTCTCAGTATGCTTGTAACTCAGTGAACTTAGCTGGACACAAGACAAAAAAATGACTTCAGTCTATAAATCTTTGCGCCTTCTTTATTTTATTCTGCTCCGCTTCTATTATTCACTCCGCACCTCCTCAAACTGTTATTACCCCCTCTCCCAAATCCCCTCTCTGCCACAGTTAAAATGTCTTGTAACTAATGAGCACCGCTAATGAGAAGCTGGCAAAGATCCATCTCTGCGAAGTCACTCATCTCGCCCTGTTGTGGACGAGAAAAAACATCTCTGGGATACACCTGATGGCCTCTGGTGCAGCAGAGTCAAAAAAAAAAAAAAAGAGTCAACAGGGAGGACATCCCTACATGTGTTGAAAGAAATCTGACTTAACTCTGGATAAACGTTCAACGGTCTCTGAGCCTCCACCTTCCCTTAACCCCTGAGGTGGAAGGGGATGAACCGAGCAACAATAAATCAGATACTGAGGCCTGTTTAGTATCAGGCACAGAGAAAAATACAAGAAGCATCCTGGAAGAAGCTGGAAGTCTAAAAAAAGACGTGAGCTTTGAAGCTTTTTGGATTTAATCTACAGGAACTTTAGCAAGAGGAAGTGTATGATCAACACAATGTCTGGTGAGCAAGGAACCAGAACTTTTTATGAAACAATCACACTAAATAATGGGTAAATCACTAAAAAATAATAGCAGTGAAAGCATATTTTCCCCATAGAGATTTCTTATTTTGCTTTTGTGTCATACATGTTTTAAATTAAATAGAGAAAAATATCCAAAGCGGAATCAAAATACAGTTTTCAAATAAAAAAAATTGTTATTCATTACAGAAACAAGCCTGTCAAACCAACAGGCAAGAACAGTGACAAGGTTTACCAATTAACGAAGAGTCACCAAGACGAAAAGGAAATAATTCAGACTCACAAGAGCCAAACATTATGGAATGTGTCTCATGCTACGTCTGGTATCAAGTGACTGCAACACTAAACAGAGCATTACACAAACAGACAAACATGGAGGTGTTAGCACGATGCGAATTTTTGCTTCCAACCAGGAACATCATGAAGGAAAATGAGAATTATGCCTGAAAACCCTCCAGCGTGGCTGAATAAAACATAATTCTGAGAAGAAGAATGGGCCAAACTTTTCTCTAAAACATCTAAGTGTGACGAAACACACTTGGATGTTTCAATGCAAAAGCTAAAGAGGCAACTGTTTGATTTAAACACAGCAGCATGACAATCTGTTAGGCTCCGGGATAAAAAAGAGGACTCACGTGTGTTCATTGATGTTATTATCAGACCAAGCTTGGCAAGTGATGTTTGACTTCGTCCAAGACCTCCTCCCTCTGTAGTTGTCCTTGGTGCCGCTGATGCACTCTCTAATATATTCTATGAGAACAAAAGGTACAGGAGACATCGGAAGGCATCAGGTTTTGAATGTTTTGTCATTGTGCCAAGTGCGAACAGGTGCCAAAAAGTTGAACTGCCATCAACTGACTCAGACATAGCTGCCCAAGTATGGTCAAAAGGAGATATTTCTCCTGAGAGCATTTAGTCATCTCAAGTCCCAGAAGTTCATTAAATGTCGCAGGAGGGAGCTTTTGTAAATTCCGCAATAAAATCTAAAGTGATAGATTCAACAGCTTACATTTCAGGCAAAGCTCTTGTGATGGGTTTAAGCAAGCAATGTTTTTTTATTATTTCTATTTTTTATTTATGCTCCACTTAAGCTGAGACGTTTAAGTGCTGGCTTTCCACACCAGAGTGAGTCAACTGCTGGGCGTAGAGAGATTCATTTCTTCTGAAAATGTCAACAGGGAAAGCAAACACCTTCGACTTAACGAACTAACACATATGTGTCACCACTACAAACAACTTGAGCAAATCCTTCGCTCCGCCACTGTTCTCATGAGAAAAACACCGACGTGCCTCTGAAAACCATAACATTTACCTTTTTTCTCGCATAAAGTGAAGTTGATGTTGGCCTGCTTCTGCGCACCGTGGGTGAAACGGTCAAAAGGAAGCAAGTGGCATTTCCTGTTGTCCTTTTGAAAGTTGAAAGCTCTGCGGACACACACACACACACACACACACACGCGCGTTCACACACACAGGGGAAGCAGTTGAAAGATGACCACATGACAAACAACAAAAATATGTAAATACAACCAGAAACATGGGAGGAACGGCAGCACGATGCAGGGAAATCAAGTGAATTCAGAGAAAAGATGAAAAAAAACCCCAAGAAGCTGTGACTCACCTGCAAATGAAGTTTTTCTTCTTGCATTTTCGCGCGCAGTGCTCTTGTGAGCGGCTATTTTGTACCACTGGAGTTTGAGGACAGTCTGTGCAAATCAGCATGTGGTTCTCACTCTTTTCATACTTCTGTAAAGACTGACGACGGGGTTTTTGACAGCAACCTAAAATGTACAGAGATATGATTTTTATAAGAATTTGTTTCCTCAGAGAGCTTATTCAAAAACTTACAGGAAGTGGGCTTGTATTTTTAGGCGAAATTTAAGGAGTTACATTTTAAATAAGTCAGCTGATTAAGTTAGCGAGTATCTGACTTAATCCTGAAAATTTCTGTAAAGTTCCAAAAGTATTTGCTGTATTCTTTAGTGCAGCAACAAACTTACAGTCATACCTCTGAAGGCCTGAGGAACATTTCTTATTTGGAATCTCAGTCAACTGAAATGAACTCCAAAGGGTAACTGGCATTTTAAAAAACAAGTCTGAACTTCTGTGTTGTTTATTTTAACACCACCCAAAACACCGTATCGTTTTCAACGGCATGACTCAAAACGCTTCCGCGTTAACGGTTATTGCCTCTCTGCACATTGTGCAATCTTTCCCGTGATGTTCTGCAGCTTGTTTGGCACATTTCAGGAGACGCATTCATCAAATTTTTAGTAGCAATTTTGCAGCAAACCGTTGGCACAACAGCAAAGGCAATGTCGATTTCGAAAGTGCCAAGTAAACTCCTGTCAGAGCCGATTCTTTTTCGAATTGCACTTTGCCGTTCGGGGCCGAGTTCTCCAGCAGATATTCAAGAAAACCGCTTCATGTTTGCTTTATCTGGAAGCAGCAGACGTCTGATCCTTTCCATGTCAGCTGGTTTACAGAGAATGTCAGAAGAACGAAAGTGAAATGTTCTCAGGGAGGAAAGCCCTTTTCAAAAAGCATGTCTGCATCCGAAGCTAAACTATCCTGAGGTGTGAAGACTGACAAAGGAAAGTGACACCTGTCAGCAAGCTCATGTGCTGCATTGGATACCCTCATGAAAGCAGATCTCATATTTTACTGGCTGAGGTCTTCTCCTCCCAACCCCAATTCTGTCATATTTGGCACGGTTCAGTTTTAAGTTACTGATGTATTTATGAGTTATCACGACTCCTACGGAAAGCAATTTCATAATCTTGCATTTGCGATTTTGTAAGCGTTGGTAAAGACTTAAAAGAAGTCCTGCTGTTTAACAATGCTGACTTTTCGTTTATTTCTTTTTATATTGAGCAACCAGAACTTTCATTCAGTGACCCTGCTTGCCAGAGAAACTTGAAATTTCTAATAAAAAGATAGTTTTTTTATGTATGATGCTTAATGTATAGCCTCTCGGCTTTTGGAAACGCAAGAAAAAGAAAAAAAGAAAACACAGTGTGTGTGGAAAATGAACCGTCAAGCTGTCGGCAGAGCAAATGGACCCATTATATTTCTTTCTTGCCTTATTTATAGAGCTTTGTTGAAAGGAGTTTCTTTGGAAGAAGCACATCAAAAGAGAAGTCTATCATTGCAAAAATGTGGCACAATGCACATGGGATCACGGCGGGTTCAGAAATAGGACAGCATCATATTTTAGAACGAACATTTCGTGACACGAATCATTCATTTTTACCTGCTCTGGAAAAGGGAAAAAAGTTCTTCCTTTAGCCGGATTGAGTTCTGCCGCAACTGTAGTTTCCTAGTGCTCCCAGGCACCTTTAAACTTTAAGTTTGTAATTAAAGGCAAGTGCGACATAAATCATCCAGGAAAATCTTTTGCTACCGAGTTACAGCCGCATGCCCCGGTGCCAAGACCCAACACAAGACGCTGTGTGTGTACTTAGGATTCTGTAAACTGTGGACCGTTTAGAGGCTTGTCGTGGTTGAAAATGGTTTTAGGGGAGGACATGTTATTAATGTTTGGGCTCCACTGGACCACATCTGGCAGTCATCACCGTGTTGTTCCAGCCCTGATGTCTGGCCAGGCCGCTCAATTAGATTTCACTTAGTCTCTTCCTCTCCTTGCACTCAGACCCCTGCTATCTCCACATATCTCCCAAGTATTTTGTTGAAGCATGAGGATAAGGATAAAAGGTGCTCAGAGGGAAGAGGGTGGGAGGAGGAGGCGACAGTGACAGGATTTAATGGGAAGAGGCAGCCGTATTCGACGAAACAGGTTCAAATTTGCATTCGAAAAATGTGGATGGGGAGGGAATGTTGGAGAACTGAAACCGTTTAAGTTGGAGATCGTTTGACTGAACCAGTCTATGACATGAATATAGCTGCATCTGGCAGTTTCCTCTCCTTCCCCGTTAAAAGGTGAAGCTCCGCCCCCTGCATCAACCACTTTCCATCCTCAATTGTGCACAACTTGTTAACCTTCTTTTCAGCTGGAAAAAAAAAAGAATCTTCCCTTCAAGTCACACCAGTTTTTATGCGGCTGCCAAAGAAAAGCAGCTCCTCACCATGATGCTGCCACCACCATTACTCACTGTAGGAATGGTGCGTTTAATAGGATGAGTGCTGTTCATCTTTTCCCCCCATACATACTGCATTGCGATTCGGCTAAATAGTTTAGTTTTGCTCAGATCTGATCAGAGAACATTCCACCACATGGTGTCTGTGTCCCCTACAAAGCTTGCAACAATCACAAATGAACTCATAGAAGCTCCTGCTCAGCTTGGAGAAGGATTGGACACACTTCAATTTCCTGGTTTCTAACTTGGAATCAGGGATGAATTTTGATCACTACAACCCACTGAAATGACGACCTGAATCATTTCAGATAGCTCTGGCTGCCTGCTAAGATGAGTTTGGAAGGTGAATCAGCAGCAGCGCAATTCCTCCAGGATTTTCCTGCATCTGATCAGCTACCCTGAACCACAGCATGGTGGTCCCACCACCATGTTCCAACATGATAGTGGAACCACAATTCTCCTACGTTCAAAAATGATTTGCCTCCATGGATGACAACATTTTTGTGACCGTTTCAAAAATACTCACTTTCCAGGCGCATAGCCATACAAGAAAAACAGGAAAGAAGCAGGTTAGAGGCTCTGTCTGGGAATTAAGCAGACAATACATCTGTTTTGGAGGGTGCAAATGTGCTGGAGTATCGAGCAGCCAGATGTTAAGCCCCCTCCACCCCAGTCCACCACACACACACACACACACACACACACACACACACACACACACACACACACACACACACACACACACACACACACACACACTCACTCCCTGCTTTGTAATGCCTTGCTTCTTGCTCCGTTTCACACATCATTTCTATCTAGATGCACAAACACCCCGGTGCACATTTTTACTGTTCCCACCTCTGGTGCGGTCAAAGGTCAGGGTCAACACCCCTAGAGGTGGTAACTACAGACACAGTGCTTTACTTGTTGACCTTTCTGGCTGGACAGATGTGAGCTGGGGCAAGCGTTCAGATAACCAATAATTTACACCCGGCTCATTTGGATACATTTAATTGAAGGCGGGTGCAGTGATAAATCACAGCATGTTTCAGGCATCTTCTCTGCAGCTCAGTGTCAGACCGTCTAATGTTTAATGATGAATGGTTTAAAAATCTTTGAGGGGAAAGTTGTAAAATCAGCTGATGTGCTGATCTGATATCAATGCTGTCAGTTTATTTGCAGTTTAAGCTTTTTTTTTTTGCCAATTGACATGTTAGGAAATTTCATAGTTGAAACTGTTTAAATTATTAGCTGCTCAAGTAAAATTGTACAAAGTTGTTAAAAAAAGTTTCTTACATTTTCAAAGGAAAATAACGAGCAACTTTCAGATATTAGAATTTTAAGCCAAATATTTGATTTTTTTTTTTGTTGCACATTTATGACTTGAATGTAAAATTAAAAATGCACTCCATGCCATCAATTTTTTTTCTCTTTTTTTTGTGTCTGTTTTTCTAATTTTAAAAGCAAATCTAACAGAATCCAAGCTTCACAATTCTTACCTGTATGCACAAAAATCACCACAACGCACACCAACACCTGGTAACTCCACACGCTTGCACTCATGGTTGGGTCCAGACTTCAGGGATCAGAGTAGAATCCGGATCAACAGAGCGACTGACACGGCTGCCGGTTCGAGTCCACAGAGAGACTGATGATCTGCAGGAGACTCGCCTTCCTCACACGGATGCTACTTTCCCCCCTCAGAAGCCACACACGTCCTTGGTTCAACCCCCTTTTCGCCAAAAGTTTGGAAGCACCCCCCACCCGCCCCATGCCCTCCTCTTTGCCTCACCGCTGTCAAACCCTTCACGCTGCAGCACGCTGTTTCCGGAAGGCGTTTTTCAAAATAAAATCTAATTTTTTTTGTTTTTTGTTTTTTTTCCTTTGTTCCCCCCGCAATTTTTTGCAAAATCGGATGACAGTTCCGGTGTGAACTTAACACACAACTCAGAAGACTGAATGTGATTTATTTGAGTTTTCTTATTTTTTATTTTTTTCTGGGTCAAGTGAAAACACTTTTTTTTAATATATTTGTGTCCAAAATGTTAAATCCTAATATAGTTGAATATACACTCGGAGTCGCTTAATTACACCTTGCTGGTATCAATATGGAATCTTATTGCTTTCAGAACTGCCTTATCTTTCTTTGTGCCACAGACTTAACAAGTTCTCAGAAACATTTTGTGGTCTTGGCCCATAATATCAAACAGTTGCTGCAAATATGTCGCCTTTACATCCGTGGCTCATATGTAGTGAGATTTGTCTTGGGGAAAGTGAAAATGGGAAATTGAGGAAAATCTTCCACTTCACTCCAGAAAAGAGAGTTGGGAATATTATATATTTATATATATTAATTAATTTACCCAATGAGTTACAAAAGAAAAAAATAATTACAATAAATAGAATGTTAAATATCCTACTGCTGCTTTTACAATGCTTTAAAGTTCCATCATTTGCTTAATGCATTTAAACTTTTGACTGACCTATGGCTTCACTTGTTTAGTACTTGTGTGTCATCACATCTTTTCAAAGTGTAACGCGACTTTTTACATGGAACTCGCTGAATCTCAGAAAGTTCATTCACCTTGGACTGTAGCAAAGTTGACAAGTAGTAAAGTTGTCTTGTAAGAGTTTATTGATGGCAAAGACCTTCCACGATCCAACAACAATCGGAAGCCCGTGCTTAATTTGGCTTTGTTATGCCAGATAAAGAATAAAGCAGTTGTGAAGATAATGATGTTGATCGGTACTAGACCTGTTATCATCAGATGGGATCTTTTTGACAAGGTTCTCTGGTGTGTCTCCTCACTGATCCTCCCTTTGGCTCAGTTGAAAAGACAGATGGGATTCTTTACATGGAGCGCCAGAAGAGCACTTGGTCTAAAGTATTGATTGCATCCCCAGAGAATTAGCTAGTTTCACAATATCTAAAGCAGAACCAGAGAGGGATCACAGACATAATGGATTGGCAAAACAAGCAGACGTAGCTCAGCGAGAGGTCCGAGAACACATTGAAAGGCTTTGCCAGAGCTCGACACGAAACTCTTGCCAACTGAAACAAACAAAGAAATCTATGAGATTCTGGTTTTGATAAAGCTTCAATCAATCAAACTGACTTGAGGCCTGAGCATTTAAACTGAAAAATACATAGGAAATATGGGAAACTTTCTGTGTCAGAGACATAGGGTCAATCACCATCATCCGATCCAAGCATTAACCACTACTGTTAGAGTTGGCCACTCATTCATTAAATGGTGCACTACATAGCGTTTAGCGGCTTTTTTTCTTCTTCATCAGAGGTAAAGGACCTGAAGATTAATATGAAAATACAAAACCAATGTCAAGTCATGGTTCTCGAAGATTTACAGAAGTGTGAGCTTGATGCCGTTTCTTGCCTGTAGGAGAAATTTAAAAATATGCTAAAGTTCTCCACATGTTTAAGCACAACTAAGTTTGACAGAAAGTGATGAGTGTTAAACAGTACCCTGGGATAATGGCCAAGCGTGTGCAGGACCACTCAGTGCTTTTCAAAAGAAATTTAAACATTTATTTGGGTAAAAGTCAGCTAAATGTTGACTTTTACGTACCCTGGATCCAGGTACAATACTAGATGCTGCCAAGTTAAAATTTGACACCATCCGGATTAGATCACACCTATAGCTAGAGGCAGCTGGAAGAAGCTCACGCGTAAGACAAATGAGGCATGGAAAATAGAGGCATGAGTTAATATTCTCGAGGTTATTGTCTTGTTAAGCTGTAAATTCTCACCCGCGGAAAATATTTTTACCCAGGGATGCACATTCCCTCCCTTAGCCTCTGTCACAGGAAAAGAAATCTATCACAGAACAGTGCAGCTATCGCATTCTATATTTTATTCACTAGTTTCCTCCACACCTTTTTGGTGAAATATTCTCCCATTTATAAGATCAGGCCATGAGCCCAGGAGGGAAACTCAGACATTACTCTGCCTAGGAACAGTGTGAGCTTGTTCTTGTGATCCAAGGCGTTCCAGGCTATAACTGATGTACACTTCCTTCCAGTGATTTCTGGGTTTGTCTCAAGATCTCCTCCCAGAGATTCGGAAACCCTCCCAGGAAGCTAAAACCCCAACCCTGGGGTATTCACCTGCTCCATCACACCTGAGTGAAATACTTCAGATCATTAGCAGGACTTTGGAGAATTTGATTTCACCGAGGAAGTGATTCAACTATTTTATTCAAGTCTGTTGGACCAGGGAACATCTAAAAGCTGTAGATCGCTGGCTCCTGAGTAGCGTACCTTTACCCTGACCTGCAGTTCTCCACTTTGATCACCCCAGATAACAAAGCATCTCACCTTATTTCTATACTAAACCCATCCATCCCACAGACAACCAGGTAATTTTAATCCAGCTAAACCCCAGACCAAAATCTAAAAGAGAATTTGGTGAGACATAAAATTGTTGTGCACAGATACAATCAATCCAAACAGCCTGAGATCAAAATCTGCCAAAGTGAAAAACATGAGACCATATTACCCAGACCTAGTTTGGTGACACACTGCTACAAAAAGAGCTGACGACTCTCATGAAAATCCAATCTTGAGAGGGATGAAAAATATCTGTCAGAGACTGGGGGAATGTTTGTTCTGGTCGAACAGTCCTCAAAGCATAAACAGATTATGAGGGAAGAAACGGTGCCAAGAGTCTGTTCATGGCATATTCCAGTGAATCGTTTGAGGCTGACCTTATAAAGCCATTTTACAGGATACGGTTTAAGGATACGACTGGATAAAGTCCACTGCATCACAGAAATTTACAATACCTTTATTATAGGGATCTCACACTGATACTGGAGTTTAAAAGTACCATAAAGGCTCAATATGCTCACTACAAAGACAACATTGAGCACTACAGATCTGGTATACATCCCATTTGGGACATTGTAAGACATGAAGTGTGTGTGTTTAAGTGGGGCAGCTGTAAATGATCCCGTTTAGGTACGAGAGTAGGGGACTTTTGTTGGGCTCTAACCCTTATTTGACAGGAAATCCACACTTCAGCCGTTAACGGGCGGAGGACTTAAAGCCCTCCAGAGAGAGCAGCGGGAAAACGAAATGGTTTGAGGTAAATGCCAGACACCCGGCCCGCTCTCATTATGACGCGTGCAGGTCATTTCTGTTTTTTCTTAGGTCTTTTTTTTTTTTTATCCTCCCTTTGGTGTGTGCAGAACTGGACAAGCAGGTGTAGAGGTGCATGTGGATATAATGTGTGTGAGTGTGTGTGTCGGAGTACTCTTGGGGCTGCAAATTTAAGGTTCTAAACCCTGGCAACAGGCACGTAGCTGCATGGTCCACCATGCACACATCACACTCGCAACGTCAATCAGTGTCAGTGGAAAGAAGAAATCCAGACGCTCGGAAAAAAAAAACGGTCCTGGAGTAAGGGTTTTGTAGTTTGGTACCTTTTGAATTACACCTCACCCTGTCCCAAGTGCTTAAAAAGCACTAGGTAAATAAGTTAGGTTTGACAGCTGATTATGCATCTAGGGAGACAATGTTGGAAGTGGAAGTGCTTGTTCAAACCAAAGCAAAGCAAAGGGAGTATTAACTTCCATGATTTATTGTACTCGGACCAGGACCATTTCAGAGGATTCCAAACTGTCAATCATTTCTTAATTAAATCAGGTGACGTTTGGTAGCCCGGTGATGTATGGGATCAATATGTTGTTCTAGTTACTGGTGCAATGTATAATTGGTGCAACTAACTTACCTTTAAGTAAAATAAGGTTTAGCTTTTTCAAAAGTTTCTTGATGAGATCCTTTTGTCATTGATCAAAAAGCGAGGTAACTCTTCCGTTCAATCAAAACAACACACCTTAGTGAGGTCCTGGAAATAACATCCAAACATGCCATTACTGTTGGCACCACAAGTTTCTATTGACAAAATAACGCTGTCAATATCAGTATACTCAGCAAGAAATTCTACAAAAGCAAGATTGAGATGCCTTCTGGGCCCTCCGGAGATTTCCATTCAGAATAAACTCCAGGATACACATAACTATGTTCCCCTTCTAGGCTGGGAATATCTTAAGGGATCGACTGACAGCGAAGTAGAATGAAACTAATTCAACTGATCCATCCTACATAGATCTGAATTGGACTATCTGCATATGTTTAGCTGCAGGGTATTCACCTTTTTAATCTGTCATGTTATATTGAAACCAAAGGCCTCTCCACCAGGAATCATTCTTAGATTTACATTTAAAGACAGCTTTTAAATCCTTTGCAAAACAAAGATTTCCTTCTCTTGGAGGATCCAGCCTTTTATAAAATTTATGTAGAGTGGTTTCAGCTGTGCTTTGCTACAGGGGACAGTTTGCACACTTGCTCTTTCTTTTTTGTTTCGTTAGATTTACATAAGGCGATATACTTGGCCATGTCACAGTTTTCATATTTTCCATTCTTTATGACCTTTTGCGTTATTTTGCTGATGTGCTTTGAGCTGTTGCCATCTTTCACAATGTATTTTGTAGTGTTGGACTGCTGAGTAAATTTCTCTGTCCAGGATTGTCACATAACATAACAGCGCCAGGTATAAGCACCATTATTTAATGGCTTCTGCACTGACAATGTTCCATGTCCTTATAATTTCACCTCTGTAGTGTAGAGTAAGCACTACGGC